GTAGCTTGCCATCACCAGTGTGTGAATGGGTGGATGACTGGATGTGTAAAGCGCTTTGGGGCCCTTAGGAACTAGAAAAGCACTATACAAATACAGGCCATTTACCATTTATTCGATTCAATTCGTATTAATAGCATGAAATCACATTCACCTCAAGGTGCTTTATATTATAAGGTAAAGAGCCTACAACAATACAGAGAAAATCCCACCAATCAGATGACTCCCTATGAGGAAAGAGTTGGTGACAGTGGGATGGAAAAACTCCCATTTAATAGGAAGAAGCTTCAGGCAGAGCCAGACTCAGGGAGTGTTCTTTTGAGGTGATACAGTACTGTGCAGTACTATGCATAGAGAAATATACTCTCTCTTTCTAGTCCCTTCAGTACGTAACTGCAGCATTTTGCATCAACTGAAGGCTTTTCGGAGAGTTTTTAAGCATAGTCTGATAATAATAAATTACACTAGTTAATAAAAAAGTAGAAATGCATGAAATATTTTTTCAGCATCACTCTGAGACAGGGTGTTTCAAATTTTTTGAAACATCTTGTGCAAGCTATTGTGCAAGAAAGCAGTTCCACATTTCTGTTTAATAATTATTTGTCTTTTCTTTATTTGTGCAATTATATAAACCAATCCAATAAAATCACAGTATGAGACGTGAATTGCTTTGAAGTCAATTTTGATACTGATTTGGGGGGTTTGGAGCAGTTTTTTAAATTTCTTAAGTTAGCATTCATGTCGTGTTGTTACAAGATGGTTGTCACTGAAACCTATCCTGAAAAGTGAGATTGTGTAAGTATTTTCTATTTTTAAACAAATCTTTGTAAAGTTGATAAAGTTTATGTGTGTGGTCAGATCTGTATCTAAAGCCATTTAAATTTTTGCTTTTTTTCATGGGATTTAAAGAAGCATCAAATCTTACAAAAGGGCATTTGCCAAAGACATGCAAGGATGAATCAAATAAGGAAAACATGCAAAATTTTCCTCTAGTTAACTTCCAGCATAAAGGGCAAAATGCAGTTAAAGGTATCAAGGAAGATTTTGTACAATATGGCCCACAGATGTTTTAGTATTAAAGTGAAACATTAAAATCTAAAGAGAACTTCAAAAGTTCAATTCCAAACTTTCGAAACTGAAGAAGTGATAGGCAAAAGCATAATAACTAAAGCAGTTTGTGGTACTTGAGCATGCAAACATGAGGCCATGGTTTGAGTAAAACAGTGGAAGCCCATTACCAAAAGCAGCTACGGAAATTCACATGATCAACGCTCACTTAGAAACAGGGTGGGGGCCATGAAAATTCCTGCTCCCAGGCCCATTATGATCCCGCTCTGCCAGTATTGGCCACAGAGAGAGACAGAGGAGGCCTGGATTGACACAAACAGAGCAGGGATTGTGTATTGCTGATCTGTCACCTAACTGCATCAAGAGAATGCAGACAGTAGGCCGTAATTATTGTGTGTAGCACAGCGCTTGACAGTGCAACAGTTTGGGCCAAATAGCTCCCATTCTTGGGAATGTATCGCTCGGTCTTTTTATTTTTGTTGCTGAGATTCCGCTTTTCTGCTCCAAAGCAACAGCCCTGCGGGGGAGCTAATTAAAGGAGGCGTACAAAAAGAATCAAATAAGACTCGACATCAGTCAGAGTCAGTGACTCTGTAATGGCGCAGGGCAACAGATAAGTTAAATCTTATTTCTGGGTGTGGTCCCTTCAAAACTGCAGGGTAAAAGCAAAAAGGAACCCTTTGTTTTATCTCCCATGATGGTGAATCACAAACCCGTGCGCACCAGTAGCCATAGCGATCATCCCCAACATTATTTACCAGAACTAAAGTGGAGACAGTGGCTGCACTGTTCATCGATTCTCACAGGACATAAGTGATGTGTTCAGCTATAAGGTTGTGAAAATTAGTTATTGTGGTGAGAAGATTGCAAAAAGTCTCTCTCTCTTTTTTTTCCTTTGGTCTTTTTAAATTTGTCAGCATCTCTGCGGGTCATGACCGCTTAGATTAATTGTAGGCAGAATCTGAGTATTTGCTGCACATGAGTTAATGCACAGAGAGCAGACAGTCATAAATATTAACGTGAGAAAGAAAGGCTGTAAATCCACGGCAGGGCCTTCTGTGGGCTTTTGTCAAGTCAGTGTGAGAGTCAGGTTATCATCAGTGGGGAAAAGTAGAGCCTGTTTAAAACTGGATTCATGTGGTCAATGCTAATTTTTAGAGAGTTAAAAAAAATCCCATCAAACACCACCTAAACAAGGACATTTATATGTATGTCTTGTCTTTAAGTAGTCTTCAGGAATATTTCTCCAGGCTTTTTAAAGGACATTCAAACCTTTTCTTTGAATGTTGACTGCTGTTTGTTCCGTTCTCTGTCAAGATGATCCCACGCTGCTTCAATGTTGACATTTCCAATTTATATTCAGTACTCCATCAGACCTGATACTGATTTTCATAGCAGTTCTTGTGTATTTAGGCATACCTCAGCCTTTTCTCCCTGTTTCCCTTCCTTCAGAATGGATTCCTGACATCCGCCTTTCCACTGAGTCCATTTCTGATGAGGCTTCGGCGAACAGTAGATGGATCAGGTGAGGTCAGGTTCTGGAATTTTCAGTTACTTCTTAAGAACATAACTTAGCAGATACTGTTTATCTGGTGTAGATTTTTTTGTCTGTCACTTCTCCAGTTTAGGGTCTTTTTTATGCTTGAGTGACTTATAGTTTAGTCCTAAGTGACTAAACAACCAAACAAACAAAACCAAAAGTCCTCTGAAAACGGTCAGGCTCAAGAACTTTGAAAGACCTTCACAATGCCTGTAGAACTATTCACCAAGAACACTTTAAAAGTTAAAAGAAAGTCTGGCTCCATTAGAAGCAACATATAAAAAAAATAAGACTTTTGCACAGTACTGAACATTATCGGTTTTAGCGATGCTGCCTGTTTTACTGCTGTTTTTAAGCTTACTGGATCTTTTCTGTCAATGGTAAGCAAAACACATAGAGCAGGCATGTGTGCTCATTTTGCTTCCACTGGATACCTTTGAACCATGGTAACAACAGAGGAATTAAAGTGCAAGGGCTATTATCCAAATCTCCATAGTGACTGACAAAACCCTTGGAAAGTATCCAGAATGGTCACTTTGTAAAGACCTCTCTCCCCCATTCTCTTTGTCTCTGTATTTCTTTGTCTCACTCATTTCTTTGTCTCACTCTGTGCTTGTGTGTGTGTGTGTATGTGCGTGTCCATGTGTGTGTGATTGCAGGGAAGGGTCAGGGTCAGGGACAGGGAGCGGAAACACCCACACACACTAATAGGATTTCCCAGCATTCTCCCTTCACATTAGCATAAAATCATCATGTGTAGCCTGTCAAATATTTAGCATGTAAATGTCGAAATGAATTATCCCTGTTCAAATTACCACCTGCAGTCATCTGGTCAGACTTGTTTCAAGGATAAGATCCCTCTGGTCACGCATATTACAAGCTAGCCTGTCAGTGACGATCACATCAAGTGTCACTTGCATATGCCTGACTGCATCAGGGAGCCATTGCTGACACCGAGTGACAGCTGCAGATGACTCGCACTCTCCTCTGCACCTTCACCTGCCCGAGGATGAGTGAGACTCAAATAGTGTACACGGATTAAAACACAGACTTAAAACAACAACCAGTAGATAACAATTTTGTATCCAAAATCAGGCTATTGAAGTACGTCTTTTAATAGTTTAGAGGATAAACGGAGTAATGTAAGCCTACGGCTCGTTCAAAATTCACGTTTCACTTAGTTGTAACCAAAGTCAAATATTACCAGAGTCCAGAGATGCTTCTAGGCACTCAACACAAATAGGATTATTTTCACTATTTTATAACTCAACCCTGAAAGTATTTTGAGGAGACAGGGACAGGAGTGTATATTTTTTGAGCTGCCTTTTTTAACCCCTACTCATAACTGGGCTACATTAGTCAATTTTCTATTTGAGAGAATAACATCCCACAGGCGTTTGTCACCTAAATCTTTCTAAAAAATCAAGCTGACAAACTCACAGACTGACTCACTGATGTGATGATTGGTTGACTGACTGGGTGATTGATTAGGCGATGGATAGAGTGGTAGACAGCCTAATAAAACCACCAAAAATAATCTCTTCTGTTTCCAAAACTTCTCCACTGTGGACGTGTGAACATGTAAACACAGGCTTTAAACACAGGTACACCTTTAATAGAGATAGCAATGTAAATTAAATATTGACTGTACATACAACATTTCAACTCACACCCAAAGAAGGCACATAAAAAAAAGTTAAAACTCAGAAATGAAAATGTTCACTTTTCTATCATTGGTTATCCTGATGACCACTTTAACACATATGTTGATAAAATAAGAAAGCATTCAATTATTACAGAACCAAAGCAACAGTATCAGTTTTGTGTTCACCCAATCAGTTTCACTCCTTTGTACTCTATTTTTGGCCTCAACCAAACCCTAAAGTAAAAACCCAGTACTACAGTAGTCCAATTCACTGTCTCATAAAGTAGCATATATCCTGTTGATTAAATGAGCCCGGGTAAAAAACCTATAACTTATAGATTTTTTGCAAATAAATCAGTTCTTTAATCTAAAAAGATGAAACAGCTATTAGAAATAAATGTTCTGGACAAACCCAAACCAGCAGTAAAATAATACAAGCAATGAAATCTGCTTTCTATTACAGACTGAGTCTTTTTTTCATTTCCTGTATGATGTTCAAGAGATTTGAGGGAGAAGAAAAATAGGTCTTATTTGTTTACATTCTTCTATCCTATCAAACACTACCTGATATTCAGCACCAAAAAATATTGTAAATTTAGACTTTTTTTCTTTTTTTTCTGTATTCAAATGCAAATAAGAGGCACAACTCTCATGGTTCATAATTATTTACAGATAAAACAACAATTTATTCAAGTTGCATGACATTAAACAACAAACACAGTCGATACTAGCAGCTGATTCTGTTAAATATCATAGTATGGGGCAGTATTGGCCACATCTCAAATGCAGATTGTCCATTGAGTCTTGTGCTTGTAGTACATGGCTTACGCCACCAGATGTCCTACTTGGCTGTGTCACAACCGCTGACTCGCCCTCGGGATGAACTTTTCTGTCTGGGATTCTGAACTCCACTGACGCAAAGGAAGACTGACTGCCATTTTTATTTGCCCAGGTTTTTGATGTGTCAATAGTAGGAGACACCTTGACACCCCTGCCTCGAGCACTGCTTTTAATACTTGAAGCATCTAAAAAGGGGTCCGAGTCGCTACCATGTGGCAGATTGTAGTAGATGCACTTTGGAGTCGGAGGCTTCGCCATCTCCTCGAGTTCTGATGAGGATATGGCTGCAAGGGGACTGTGCTGAGTTTTGAAATGGGGCGGGGAATCGTCACTAGTGTTCTCCTGACCTGTGTCTACGGATGTGCTGTCCAAATTGTCGTACATTCCCAGCGAGACTGGAGGAGATTTTCTTATGAGATGGTTCTCCTTCAGGAGCCATCTGCCTTGATCAATCAAAACCCCATCAGCTGAGTTTTGTGAGACAAAAGAAATGCACTGTGCAGCCTGTGTGGTGGCTTCACGATCTGCTTTTAATGAGCTTGCTGCACTGAAGTAAGAAAGATCCGCCCTTGAGGCTTTAGTACCTGAGTCACTGGAACTAGGAAAGGTTCCTGAGTTACTTGCAACAGACAACTTTGAGCTAGCCAGTTCCAGATTTGTCCTCTCAGCTTGGACAGCTGAATGTGTATAGACTGGAGAAGTTTTCTCTGAAGCCTCTTCTCCACTCTGTGACATAATATCTACAGACTCCTGAGTTCTATAGCTGCTGCTCTCTGATGTTTCTGGTCTGTAATCAGATAAATCAGAGGTGCTCGGGCTTGGCAGGCATTTTAAGCCATATGAACGGTCTTTTCTGCTTTTCAGAAGAACACTTTGCTTGGTTTTTACAACCTGAGCATTATCAGGCTCTATCCTAATCTTCCCATCCTTGTCATAAATGAATACAAGCGAAGCAGACCGGAGGGCATAGTTCACAAAGTTGAGTAATTCCTGGGATATTTCCCCTGGATGGGATAAACTGCCACTTCTTTCTGTAAGCATCTCTCCTCCTTCATCTGTTTCAGTAACCGTGTCTGTTCCGTTACCTTTGTCATCAGCACACTGACCTTCAGAAGAGTATTTGCTTGGGGATTCAGTGCCTTGGTTTTTTTCCTGGTCTAATTTCTCTTGTGACTCCTTCTCTTCATCATCCTCCCTCTCCTCTTCATCTCCAGTTTGACCTGCTGTCAGATTTTCATCCCTCTCTAACTCTTCTCCACATTCTCTCTCTTCTGCTGATTCTTCCTCCTGACTACTTTCTGTTTGCTCCGGCTCTCTCATCCTGTCTTCAGCCTCATCATACTTTTCATCTTCTGTGTCCGTGTCCCTTCCTTCGTCTACCTCTTCCTCGTCTGTTGTTGTCCTTGCTCTCTCATCCTCTGTATTTTTAACCACAGAATCTCCACTACCTTCCTCCTCATGTTCTTCATCTTGTTCTCTCTCTTCTTCTACCTCCTCCTCCTCTTCATTGTTTCCCTCACTAACCTCTTCTATCTGCTGTGTTTCCTTTTCATCCTCAACTTCTAGTTCATTTCTATCTTCATTAAATTCTTCCATTTCCTTTTCATCATCTGCATTTTCACTAACACTTTCCTCTGCATCTGTTGCAGTAACTGCATTTATTTCCGCTTCCACCTCCTCTTCCTCATCTGCCTCAATACCATCCCCAATTTTCTTTTCCTCATCATCAGATACCTCAGTACCTTCCAGTAGTTCCTGCTCTACATCACCTGTAACAAGATGTAACTCTTCATTTTCTTCCTCCTCCTGTTCTAATTCTACAGTTACATTTTCTACTCCACCCCCTTTACTTGTCTCTTCCACATTGTCACCTTCATCTTCTTTCTCCTCCTTATACCTCTCCTCATTTTCCCCTCCATCACTGCTTTTTTCCTCACCTTCCTCGCAAACCTTCTCATTTATCTTCTCTTCCTCCTCTGCCTCCCCAGCACCCTCTCTCTCATCTGTTTCTTCAGCACTATACTGAGTTGGGTCCTCATTCATAAAATCCTCATCTGTCTCATCAGCCTCTTCTTCCTCTCCTTCTCCTAATTCATCCCCCAGCTCTCTTTCATCCAGTGTCATCTCTTCCTCCTCTTCATCTGTCCCTGCTCCTTTCTTGTCAAGAGATTGCTCATCACTCACTTCCTCTGATTCTGATTGCTCTGGCTTTTCTTCTACATCTTCCCCTCTTCCCCTATTTTCTTTTTCAGTCCCTTCACTATCAGCCTCTGTGTCTGTTCT